GTGGGGGGAGGGGATCGCTGAGGGTCACAGAGGCCAGTGGGGCCTGGGGGTGCAGGGAGGGAGTCCTGGATTCCTGCTTCAGCAAATTCCATTTGGGGACTCTGCTACCATCGCACTTCTGCTTGTTAGAAGCTGCTGGGCTGTGGGGCCATTGTGTGGGGAGGCTTAAGGGATTTGGGGGACCCGGGGAGCAGAGAGGCCAGCGACCTGGCTTGGCCCAGTCTGCACAGAGGGGCCGAGGCAGACGGAGGGCTCAGCACAGGCTCTGAGACGCAGGTAGGAACCGGGCATGGGACCCACAGTCCCTCCTCCCCCAAGACCCAGGCATCCAGTCCTCCAGCTCCTTCCTTTCCCCGGGGCCTGATGAGGTTCCAGCCCCAGCCAACTTCACACCTGGGACCCAGGAGTCCAGGGCCCCAGCCTCCTCTTCCCCCAGGGATTTTGGTGCCCCAGTGCCCACACCGCCTCCTGGCTTAGGACATGGAAGTCCAGGCCCTCAGGATCTTTCTCCCCCAAGACCCAGGGGTCTAGCTCCTCAGTTCCTCCTCCCTCAGACCCAGGAGTCCAGGCCCCCAGCCCCTCCTCCTTCAGACCCAGGGGTCCAGCCCCCAGCCCCTCCTCCCTCAGACCCAAGAGTCCAGGTCCCCAGGCCCTCCTCCCTCAGACCCACGAGTCCAGGCCCCCAGCCCCTCCTCCCTCAGAACCAGGGGTCCAGCCCCAGCCCCTCCTTCCTCCCTCAGACCCTGGAGTCCAGGCCCCCACCCCCTCCCCCTCAGACCCAGGAGTCCAGCTCCTGGCCCCATCTCTCCCCTTCCCCACAGATCGCCATGTACAGCTTCATGAGCGGCGGCCTCTTCTGCGCCTGGGTGGGGACTATCCTCCTGGTGGTGGCCACGGCGACTGACCACTGGATGCAGTACCGGCTGTCGGGGTCCTTTGCCCACCAGGGCCTGTGGCGGTACTGCCTGGGCAACAAGTGCTACCTGCAGTCGGAGAGCGTTGGTGAGGCTCCGGGTGGACGGGGTCTGGGCTGTGCCTGGGGCAGAGGCCACAGGGCACAACCTTATAGGCCGAGGGTGGGCTGCCCGTCCCGCAGATGGAGAAACCGGTGGCTCAGAGAAGGAAAGAGTCAAGCCAAGGTCACTGAGCCCGGGAAGGGGCCAAGCTGGGGTTTCAGCATTCCTTCCCAGGGCAGGTGCAACACGTATCGATTGAGGGGTTCGAGGGGAGAGGGGACGTGTCCCACACAAGTCGAGGTCAGTGGACTGTGGTCGCCAGAACAGCATTTTCTAAGTATTGACGATGGATCAAGAACTATGTCAATATGCTGAGTGACATAAGTCAGGAAAAGACAAGTGCTGTACGATTTCACTTACACGTGGAATCTAAAAAAGAAATTAAGTGAACAATCAAAACATAAACAGACTCAGACACAGAGAACAGGCTGATGGTGGCCAGATAGGAGGGGGATGAGGGTTGGGTAACAAGGTGAAGGGATCGAGAAGTACAGGTTGGTAGCTACAAAGTAGATATGGGATGTCACGTACAGCATAGGGAGTATAGGCAGCAATAATGCGATAACTATGTAGGGTGCCAGTGGGCACTTGAATTATCGGGGGATCACGTCTTCAATTATATAATTCTCTAACCGCTATGTTACATACCCAAAACTAATCTATACTAATAATAGGGTAATATGCTAAGTAGACTGACTGGGTCAACTGGCCATCTTATGGGCATCCGATTTCCTTCCGGACAAAGCCATCTTGGTGGGGGTCGAGGTAGAGGGCATTAGGGGTGGTCAGGCTGGCTGGGGAGGATAATTAGGGGTGATGAGGCAGGCAGAGGCAGTTAGGGGCAATCAGGCCGGCAGGTGAATGGTTAGGCCGGCAGAGTAGTTAGGGATGATCAGGCAGGCAGGCAGGTGAGCACTTAGGAGCCAGTGGTCCCAGATTGTGAGACGGATGTCCGACTGCTGGTTTAGGCCCTATCCTGATCCCTGTGGGATCAGGTCTAAACTAGCTGTTGGACATCTCCAGGCGAGTGATTGGGAGCCAGCGGTCCCAGATTGTGAGAGGGTGCAGGCTGGGCTGAGGGACACTTCCCCCGCCCCCTCACCCCAGTGCATGAATTTTGTGCACTGGGTCTCTAGTATAAAATAATATTGATTGTCAACTGTAATTGGAAATAGCCTGTTAGGTACTGAGGGATACAAAAGCAAGATAGACCCTAAGTTTGCTAAATACTGGATGAGGTATTATACTTGCTATGTGCCAGGCTATGTAATATATATGTATATAACTCTATGTATATATGTATGTGTGTGTATGTATATATTACAATATATATTATAAATATGGAGATAAGAATAGTACTTACAGTATAGTGCTCTGGCAATGTATATTATACACATCTATACTAATAAAGAGTAATATGCTAATTAGACCAGGAGACCTTCCGGACGTCCTTCTGGACAAAGTCAGGGGCTTGGCTGGCCTGCAAACTGCCCCCGAATGGCCCTTGGGGTTGGGGGAAGTTGGACTGACTGGGTCAACTGGCCATCTTATGGGCATCCGATTTCCTTCCGGACAAAGCCATCTTGGTGGGGGTCGAGGTAGAGGGCATTAGGGGTGGTCAGGCTGGCTGGGGAGGATAATTAGGGGTGATGAGGCAGGCAGAGGCAGTTAGGGGCAATCAGGCCGGCAGGAGAGGGCTGTTGGGGGCAATCAAGCCTGCAGAGTAGCAGTTAGGCATTGATCAGGCTGGCAGGGGAGTGGTTAGGACATGACCCAGCTAGCAGGCAGAAGTGGTTAGGGGCAATCAGACAGGCAGGCAGGTGAGCAGTTGGGAGCCAGCGGTCCCAGATTGTGAGAGGGTGCAGGCTGGGCTGAGGGACACTCTGCCTCCCGGCACAAATGTCATGCACTGGGCCTCTAGTTTTAAAGAATGGTGTTATGAACATTCCTATAAAAATTTCTTGTCAGGATTACATTATTTCTTAAGTTCTGATTTTACAGAAATCTA